TACTTTTAGCATAGAGGAGATAGCTCAGCAGGCTTAAGTGCCTGCCTAGCAAGCACAAGGTCCTGAGTTCAATCCCTGGTACAAAAGAAAAGAGTTGGTGGATTTTACCACGTTTTAGATTGATGACATGCGCCTGTAATCCCAGCTCTTGGGAGGCCATAAACAGGTGGATCACTACGAGTCTGATCTAGTAGTGAGACCCTGACCCTGTAGACTCTTCTCTAAAAGACACACACACACACACACACACACACACACACACACACACACAAAAGCAGGCATTTTAGTTGGCTGAACTAGCTCACTGGTCCCCTGCCCCCACTTTAGACAGTGTCTTGCTATTACACTTCAGGCTGGCCTTGAACTCACAATGGAGCCTACGTTGGCCTCAGACTTGTGATTCTCCTGCCTCAGCCTCCCAAATGCTGGGATTGCAGGTGTGAATGACCATGCCAGGCTGTACCTTTTGAGGTACAAGTAGTTAAAAAAATCCTGTTCTCTCCAAGATGTATCTGAAACCTGCCCTTTACTCCATTTGCACTAGGCACACTAGCCCAAGGCCCCATCACCTTGCACCTGAGAGGCTGCAGCAGCCTCCTGACCATCTCCCTGCAGCCACCCTAGACCCCGTATGTGTGTGACTTGTCCCTAGGGGAAACCAGGGTTGTTTTCCCAAAGCGTAAGTACAGCATCTTAGCACCAAGGTCACACACACAACACACAAGTCCCAGTGCTGGGACATTTCCTACTCCCATGTCTTTGCCTGAATAACTCCTTTTTTTTGTGTGTGTGGAACTGGGGATTGAACTCAGGCCCTTGCGCTTGCAGGCAAGCGCTTATTCTGTTGAGTTCTCTCCCCTGCCCCTGAATAATTCCTTCTTACCTTTCAGTTCACGTGTCAGTTCCTCATAAGAGCTGTTCTGGATCCTTGGCCAGGCCAGGTAGCTTTGCTAGTGCTTCTCCAGCACTAAGACCTCACCTTGCCAAGAAGTCATTCAGGAGATAAACTGGACTCCTGAGCCCTCCTGTTCCAGCCTCTGGGAATGTGGGGATGAATATTCCAGGGCTCTTGCCCTTAGTTAATACCCAAGGTGGGGCCTGGGAGATGGCTCAGTAGAATAAGTGCTTGCCTGGCAAGCACAAGGGCCTGAGTTCAATCCCCGGTTCCGAAAAAAAAAAAAAAAACCCAAGGAGCATTGCATGTGGAGCAATAACATGTGACAAGCAGGTGTGTGGAGGGGTGCGCTTGCCAGGGGAGCACTTATTCCACTGAGCCATCTCCCTGGCCCCAGATACATTTCTTTAGAGACAGGATCTCACTATGTAGCCCAGGCTGGCCTTGAACTCACAGTGATCCTCCTGCCGCAGCCTCCTGAGTGCTGGGATTGTAGGTGTGCACCACCATGCCTGGCCACTGGTGAGATTTAACTGAGTGACGTGGTGGGGTTGTGATTTCTGTAGAAGAATATTAGATTAGAGGAAGGAAGGAAGGAAGGAAGGAAGCAGGGAGACTAGTCTGGGGGTTTCTGGAGGAAATTGATGACTAGGGGTGGGGCCTCCCTCAGTGTGTGAGGGTGGATGGGGTACAGTGAACTGTGATGGCCTGGAGTGGAGATTGGGAAAGAGAGGAAATGAAAATCTCTCTGGTCTTCATGCCCCAACAGTGGGTAGGGCGAAGCCCATGCAGCAGGGACATGCATCTCTCTTTGGTGTCCAGCCCCTGTTCTACCTGGTGTGGGTTTATCTGTCCTCTGGCCTCTCATCCGTCCTTTTTCCTTGAGGACTTGATAGGCTCTGAGGTGGAAGGCTACTGAAATGCGCTAGAGCAAGGCCGAGGGGAAGGGAAAGAGGAAGTTGGGTCAGAGCCCGGATGTGATGGGGCTTCAGAGAAAATAGCATTTGGGGTTTCCTCAGAGCCTGGAAATTCCACCATCTCTGGCTCCACCCCAAGACCCCAATCCTGAGATGTTTAAATCCTGGGGCTCGGTCCTAGAGAATCCTGGCCCCTCTAGGGGCTGAGTCTATCTGAAGGGTCATAACCCCTTGCCAGGCCCCAAGATGGTAAGCTGACATCAGCCAGCTTGTGAACTTCCTGTGGGCCGGTCCTAGAGCCTGTCACCTGTATGATCCCATGCAATCCTCACAACCCTTGGTGGCTCAGTTGTCCTTGTTGTACCTGTGCACCTTCAAAGGGTTAAGGAATTTGTCCAAATTCACACAGCAAGGATGAGGCAAAGCAAGGATTTGAACTGAGGTTTGCCTGACATCAGAGTCTGCGTTTAACTCCTGTGCTATATTAAGCCTGTCGACCCCATGGTTGATTGGCTCAGTAGGGGGAGGAGGCTTTGTGGGAGATTTGCTGGTGCTTGGGGTGGCTGCCCCCCTCTCATATCAAGCGATGGGAAAGGGTAGTGCTGACGTCAATTGTTGCCGTGGCAATACAGCAACCCTTTCCTTGCTGTCTCCATGGCAACCTGGGGGGTCCATCTGTACTTCGCCCCCTCCTTCTAAAAAGGGGGTCCCTTAGGGAGGGGCCACCTAATAAGATGTCTGAAAGAGAAGGCAGCGAAGGCGGTGACGTGAACAAGCCCTTTCTCTTAGTTCTTCACTGCTCAGGCCCAGAAAATATGGCTGGGACCTGGCTGTCTGGCACCAGGGTCTGAGTATGGCTAACCCGAAAGGATAACCGGGGCAGCTCTGCCTTTCCCAGCTGGAAATCCTCACCCCACCCCCAAGTTCATAGGCTTCTAAGCAGAATAGCTGGAAAACTGGCAGAGCAAGACAAGGGTTTCCCCAGGTCCCTGCAGAGCTGGCTGTCACCCAGCCCCAGGGGACAGTCCTTGGCTACCTGGCTCTCTGCTGCCCCTTGACAAGCAGCAGCTGGGGCCTCTTGCTCACATGGTGGCTGGACCAGGGCTTCCTGCCTGGCACTGTGCAGCCGGGACCTTACTGAAACCTCCAGCATCCTTAGCTCCATTTTCCAGGTTTGGAAATGGAGGTGCCAAGAGGTTTAGGAATCAGCCAAAGGTTGCAGTCAGTAAATGGCAGAGACAGAACTTAAATGCATGCCTGGAGTTTAAGCCAGTGGAAAGCAGAAAAGGAAACAGAAAACAGAAGGGAAGAGAAAAAAGAGAAGTAGGAGAGTGAAGTGACTCAGGTCAAGCCTGTCATACTCCCTATTGTGCTACAAAATGAAGTTTAAATCCTTCAGCCTGGTACTCGAAGGCCTTCCAGGTCCAGCTTCTCTTGGTAGATCCCTGGCCTCTCAGGATGGGTTAGCAATGAGTGTTAGCATATAGCCTGTTCCAGAAAGGTGTCCATAGAAAACAGCAACAGGGGCCGGGGAGATGGCTCAGTAGAATAAGTGCTTGCCTGGCAAGCGCAAGGGTCTGAGTTCAATCCCTGGGTCCGCAAAAAAAAAAAAAAAACAGAAACAACAAAAACATTTGGGTTGGGGTTATAGCTCAGTACCATAAGCATCTACCTGGTACCGAAAAGAGAAAAACAACTACATTCTTTGAACTTGTTTTCCACCTTCCTGCCTTGGGGCTTGCTCACAGCTTTCCACCCACCCAAAGGGCCCTTGCTCTGGCACCCTGGAGCTCAGCAGCCCAAGGCTCAGTCTGGTGAGCCTTACCCCAACCTCAACTCACAGGCCAGGTGTGGTAGTTGATACTTTGTGTTAATTTGGCTGAATCAGCTCAGGCAGATCTCAGCATGGGGGCCTAGCCCTGCAGGTGGGCAGGGTCCAGGAATTGAGAAAGGCTTCCTGCCCCCTGCCTGGTTTCCTGCCGCCCTGCTTCTGGGGAGAAGTCTCAGTCTTTGAAGGAGTTTGATCTTCGCAGCTGGAGGAGCTACAATCACAGGTTGTGGTAGTCAGGTAGAAGGAAGAGAGAGGCTTGATGGACGCTGCAGCTGGTGCTCCTCCCTGCTCTTCACTGTTTTCTACCCATGAACTGCTGTCATTTGCCTTGGAGCCAGCGGAATATGGACTGAACCTTCCAGTAACTGTGAGCTAAATAAACCTTTCCTTCATTTGGTGTGTGGAGTATTTGTCCCAGCAACGAATAAGAAGTAACCAAGGGCTGGAGAGATGGCTCAGTGGTCTAAAGCACCTACTTGGAACAAGCTTGGCAAAGCACAGGGACCGCAATTCAATCCCCCAGCACCACATGCCAGCCCGCCCCGCCCCCTGGTGGACTGAGCTGGCCACGCACATAAATAAATAAATAAATAAAATGTTTGTTGTTATTCATCTTAAACACTAGCCCTTGGGGCAGGGTTTCTGCTTGGGGCCTCCCATGGATGGACATACAGGTGTTGCATCTTCACACACTCAGAACTGTGCCTACATCACTGATCATTTGGGTGACTCTAGGCAAGCTTTTCAAGCCTTAGTCTTCACTTATAAAATAGGAAGGAATCAGTTGTTGGGTGTGGTGATACACAGCTGTAATCCCAGCACTTGAAGGCTGAGACAGGAAGATTGATTGCGTGGAGGCTGGGCTACTACCTAGGAGTTCCAGGCTATTCTGAAGTACATAGCAAGATCCTGACCCAAACCGAACCAAACTGAACCAAACCATACCACCCCCTACAAAAAAAAGAAAAAGAAATGAGAAAAAGAAACCAGAACACAAAATGAACTGGGGCAGCCTGCTATCCCTCCAACACAGGCAGAAGTGCCAAGTCACAAGACAGCAGGTAGCAGAAGCTAACTCCACTTGGGCCTGGTGTGGGTCTGTCTAAGCGTGTTCTCCTTTCTCCAGTCTTAAACTCCCGTGGGTCACCTGCACCTAGCACATAATTGCAAATTTCACGGGTGAACCAGTGACAGGGAAAAGGAGATGAACAACTGTAGGCCATGAGAAAAGGTGGAGTGGCTTGGGGAGCCCAGGGCGGGTCCTGGAGTAGTAGGCAGCCCAAGGGAAGGTGGTGTAGGATGGAGTGTGCCTTGGTGGGCCCGATACGACCGACAGACATACACGGCCAGTCCGGAGTGGAAAGAACAGTTTATGCTGTGCTTTATTAAAATGTGCATCATTCTTTTATTTTAAAATGTGCATCATTTTCTCGTGCTCGGCGCGTGCGGCCTCGTCCCGCCCGGCTCCCGCGGAGCCGCCCTGTGCAGAGGCGCTCAGGTATCGCGGGCCTGCGGGCTCCCGCCCATGGCCAGGTAGACGTCGATAGGCACGTGCAGCAGCGTCAGGCAGTGGCAGCCGGGGCAGCGTCGCAGCGGCCTAGGGAGAGCGGCGCGCCACAGGGGGCGCTGAGGTGCGGCCCGGCCCATGCTGTTGGGGTGCACCAAGGAGGCACTTGGGGTCCTCTGGGGCTGGGGCGTAACCTGGGGACCTTGGTGTGGGGAATGGGGCGGGGCGCCGGCCTCACCTGACCGGGTTGTGCTCGGTAGCTACCGGCTCCGGGTTGTCCTGGGACTCGGGGGCGGCGGCAAGGCCAGGGGAGTCTCCGGCCTCAATGGGGAATCTCCGACCCTGCGGGGGCTCCTGGGCACTCATGTCCAGGCCCCGGGGCGCTCTGTGCGGGGAGTGGCTGTCAGGCCGCTCGCGGGTGGCCGGGCGCCCCTGCCTGCGCCCGCTCCCGGGATCAGTGCTCACCTGCCGGAGGCTGAGGCCCGTCCCAGGCTGGCAGCGGTTGCCAGAGCCCTGGCCACGAGAGGTCGCTCCGGTCCAGGAGGAGCCGGGCAGGTGTCTGCAGCTCGCTCGGGCCAGGGTGTCAAGGGGGAGGGCTGCATTGTGACCCGTGCTTCGGCACTGACATCACAGAGCCTGTTCCTACTGCCAGGGAACCCTCGCTGCCCCAGACTGCCCTGGCAGTTAGATCAGGGACTCATGCTTGGGTGCTGCAGGATCAGGCCATGCGCTTGGGGAACCGGTTACGCTTGCCCCCTGATGGGGCAAAGGAGGCTGTGTCCACGTGGGGGAGCCCGGCATCCTGGGCCTATGCTAACCTGCCCAGCGCTGACCCCGGCTCTGCTCTTACTCAGTGCTGGGTTTGGTGATGGTGGTGAGGGCAGGTAGGGCCGCTGCCCATTTTAGCCAAGGGTCACACAGCATTTACATCACAATTGGGCTGGAGGTTAAAAATGTCTAGCCCTTTCCCTCTCCACCACCCGTGGCTGTGTCCGGAGGAGAATGTTCTAGCGCTGGGCCGGCTGTGGATGAAGTCCTTGGGGGAGAAAAGGAGCAGGCCAAGGGCGATGGTGAAGTAGAGCTGCCTCACTGAGGCAGCATGAGCTGAGAGGACAGGAAGGAAGGAGGCACCCAGACAGCATGGAGGACTTTCTGCTCTCCAATGGGTACCAGCTGGGCAAGACCATTGGGGAAGGGACCTACTCCAAAGTCAAAGAAGCATTTTCCAAAAAACACCAAAGAAAAGTGGCAATTAAAATTATAGACAAGATAAGAGGGCCAGAAGGTGAGCTGGGGCCCCTTTGGGGAAAGGGAGGGCTGGGTGAAGCGGATAGGTGCTTCCTCCCGTCAGAAAACTCTCCCTCCCCTCCCTTTTAGTTGGCAGCCACAGAAAGCAAGCTGGACTATGGCCTTGAGTAGGGGGCATAGGGTCATAGGTCAGTGGGGAACCAAAGGATGATGGGAGTTTAAGAATATCACACCTCAAATCCAAGATGAGTGTACAGGTGGAGGGTCCCTGGGGTGGAAGGGTCCCTGGGCTTTTCCTATTCCAGGAGGGAAGAGATGCAGTAGCCACAGCCAGGCCCGGCAGAACACTCGGACCAGTACTGAGGCAAGTGGACATGGGCCAGAGGAAGACAAGCATCCCGGAAAGGGTTGGGGATCAGAAAGCAGCACACAGCAAAGAGCTGGGTTTCCATCCTGTAACCCTCCAGGCATGGCTCTAAAATCCCAATAAGGGGGCCGGGGAGATGGCTCAGTGGAATAAGCGCTTCCCTAGCAAGCACAAGGGTCTGAGTTCAATCCCCAGTTCCGAAAAAAAAAAAAAAAAAATCCCAATAAGCCCTCAAATTGGGATTCTGTGACTACTTAAGTACAGAATAAGTAGTTATTATTCTCGGAACCAGGGATTGAACTCAGGCCCCTGAGCTTGCCAGGCAAGCACTTATTCCACTGAGCCATCTCCCCCTCCTGCTACCTCCAAGTTAATAGATACACTTAGATACTATTAAGGAGCCAAAGTACAAGACCCAGGTACATTGGGTAGACAGAAGCCGGGAAGGAGTCAGGAGTGAAGTTAGGCCTTTCTGATTTTTTTTTTTTTTTTTTTGGTGTGTGTGTGTGCCTTTGGGGACAGGGTCTCACTGCAGTTCAGGCTGCCCTGGAGTTCACTTTGTAGCCCAGGCTGGTCTTGAACTTAAAATGATCCTCCTGCCTCAGCCTCCCGAGTGCTGGGATTATAGGAATATGCCTCCACACCCAGCAAAATATCTTTTAAGAGTTATTAGAAAATAGGGAGAGAGGTCCTTTGCAAATGAACTTTGTGGCCCAGGCTGGCCTTGAACTTGTAGCAATCCTCCTGCCTCAGCTTCCTGAGAGCTGGGATTATAGGTGTGCACCACCATGCCCGGCTTCTGATCTTATTATTTTTTAAAAATCTTTTGATACAGGGTCTATGTAGCTCAGACTCCTGTCTCAGCCTCCTCAGTGCTGGGATACAGGAATGCACCACCATACCCGATTTTGGTGGCTGGCACAGTATACCCAGGGGTCCAGGGCATACTGCTGGCACATTATGCGGTACTAGGGATTGAACTTGGGTGCTTGCACTTGCTAGGCAGGTGCTTAGTCCATCGAGTCCCCAGCCCTTGATCTCTTTTTGACACAGGGTCTTCCTGTGTAGTCCAGGATCAGAACAGTCCTTCTGTCTCAGTCTCCCAAGTGCTGGGGTTACATGCATATACCACCAGATCAGGGTTGGGCCCTTCTGATCGTGCTGGTTTTTCTCTCCTCCCCTTATTAAGAGTTTATCCAGAGATTCCTGCCTCGGGAGCTCCAGATCGTGCAGACCCTTGACCACAAAAACATCATCCAGGTGTATGAGATGCTGGAGTCCACTGATGGGAAAATCTACCTGGTGATGGAGCTGGCTGAGGGCGGGGATGTCTTTGATTGCGTGCTGAAGGGGGGGCCACTGCCTGAGAGCCAGGTCAAGGCCCTCTTCCGCCAGATGGTCGAGGCTATCCGCTACTGCCATGGCTGTGGAGTGGCCCACCGGGACCTGAAGTGTGAGAATGCCTTGTTGCAGGGCTTCAGCCTGAAGCTGACCGATTTTGGCTTTGCCAAGATGTTACCCAAGTCACGCCAAGAGCTGAGCCAGACCTTTTGCGGGAGCACAGCGTACGCAGCCCCAGAGGTGCTGCAGGGTATTCCCCATGACAGCAAGAAGGGCGACATCTGGAGCATGGGCGTGGTCCTGTACGTCATGCTCTGTGCCAGCCTACCTTTTGACGACACAGACATCCCCAAGATGCTCTGGCAGCAGCAGAAGGGGGTGTCTTTCCCTCCTCATCTGGATATCTCATCTGAGTGCCAGGACCTGCTCAAGTGGCTCCTGGAAACAGACATGACCCTCCGGCCTTCGATTGAAGAAGTTAGTAGGCACCCCTGGCTAGCGAGCACATGATACATGCAATGGCAAGTCCTCCCCAATAAAGTAGGGGGAGAAAGCAAACCCAAAACCTGCTTCCAAAGTGGTGATATATATTTTACATGTTTACTTATGCTAAAGCTTATCTTCGCCTTTCCCAGACTCACACTCTTTCCCTCTAAAGATCTTCATGGAACCAAGGGGCTCCTTCAGACTTTTCATTACCACTGGCAAGTGATTTTCACACAGGTGTTTAAAACTAACTAAATTAGGGCTGGTGAGATGGCTCGGTGGTCTAAAGCACCTACTTAGAACAAGCTAAGCCAAGCGAAGCACAGGGACTGCGGTTCAATCCCCCAGCACCACATGCCAGCCAGCCCCGCCCCCTGGTGGGCTGAGCTGGCCACACACAGACACTAAATAAATAAATAAATAAATAAATAAATAAATAAATATTTAAAAAAATAAAACTAACTAAATTAGACCCCAGATCATCCATATGGGGGGAGGAGAGAAACATGACCAAGAGCACCTGGAACCACTATTGCTGCAACTTCCTTTCCAAATAAAAGCAGAAGCGCTGGGAATGCAGAAATGGCCTGTCTCCTTGTCTTGGAGAGAGGTCTGCTGGGCCCCATGCCCTCCTCATCCCAGAAACTGAGCTGAATCTGAGATGAGGACCAGGGCTTCCTCAAGGGCCAGGCTGTGGCCCTTGTGTCTCCAGCTCCCAGTGGGAAGCCACCCCTTCAGTGTGTGCAGCCTACCCAGGCAGAAACAGATGCCCAGACACCTTCTGGCTTCTGTTGAATCTCTTTAATGTTAACACCAAGTCTGCAAAAGGTTCAGGACAAAGTTCTTTTTTCTCTCTTTTTAATTACAAAACTAACAGCTGTTAGAATCTTTTTTTTTTTTTTTTCCTGTTTTCTTTTCTCCGGCTACAAAATACTCTGGGGAGATGCATTATAATTTAAAATATATAATATTGCACAAACAACCAAAAAGTTAATTAAACTAAAGAAATAATTACAAAGAGAAAAAAACCCCATCCATCAAAAAGAGACTCAGCGTCCTCTCCTCCCACCCCTTACCGAAGGTCTGAACTGCAAGTACCCATCACTCGGTATCCCGCCCTTCCCTCCTCACTGTGGACACGGCCTCTATGTACAAGAATCACCAAAGCAGCACTGCAAAGCACCAGGGTCTCCAAGAATCTCTGCTGCCCTCACTGCCCTGAGCAAGGTGCAGCTTCACCAGAGTGGAGGGTGACAGGCTGGCTCTGTCGCTAAGAAGGAGCCCACTGAGGACCAGGGTGTTTCCCCAGGGCAGCCCCGTGGAAGCAGAGGGCAGGGCAGAGAGCTGGCCTTCCCAGGCTGTACGCACTCACCTCTGTTCACTGCTCTGTACCATGGGAGCTGCCTTGTTCCCTACTTACGGGGGAGTCAGGTGGGCAGCTGCTTGGGCCAGCCACTCTGCCAGGCAATGCACAGAGGGCCTCAAGTGGCTCACTTCCCTCTTGGGGAGGGAAAGAACTGCAAGAGTGGACCCTTGCGGCGGCACAGCGGGGCTAAGGACTTGGGTGCATCTGACATGAAGCAGCCCTGGGAGTTACAGGGACATGTCTCTGTGGGCTGAAGAGAAGGAAAGAGGCGAGTTATGTATGGTTTGGTCTCTAGATTCTGAACCCCAAGGAGTCTTTCCAGAGGAAAATTCTGGAAGAGGGAGATTTTCAAAAGGCAAATTTCCCAGAAATGACGGCCTCTTACACACGAGTAGGAGCCAAATCATGCTCGCCAACCTTGTTTAGCCACGGGCAGGTGGCATGGCCATCCCTGTCTGCTTATTAAGAGTGACAGAAGTGTACTGCCTCTGCTTCTGCCAAGAAACTGGCAGTAAAGCTTTTTTGTCTACACACAGAAGGGCCAGAGCTGTCCCTGGGGCTTGTAGCAGGAGTCCCCAGAAGCAGCAGGTATTCAGCAGAGAAATGTAGGCTCTTGGTGATGGCGTAGGTATCCCCTCCTCACATCATCCTTAGGTTGGCACAAGTCAGAGTTCTGGGCTTGGATTTGGAGATCCCCTTCTCAGGTGTGAGCAGAGGCCCAAAGGACCAGCGGGGAGCCACCAGAATCTGTGCCCAGAGCTTGGGATGGCAGAGGCCATTTGGGGGACATTCTCAGTGTCATCCAGGGTGGGCTGAGATGAGCCAGGGAGGTGGGTGGTGGCGTGGTGGGGAGCTGTCACCATGGACCACTCACTCCCAGTCCTCCCACTCTACATCTTCCAGCTGCAAACGGGAGGGGAATGGAGAGGGGAACTCACTTGTTTACTCCTGTGTGTAGCCCCACCCAGCCCACTGCATCCCACTCCACCCCACCGAGCCCATCTGCCTGCCTCTGTTTCTGGACTGAGTCCCCAAGCCCAAGCCTGGGCTATTCCCTGCCCTGCTGAGAGTGAACCCTCACTCTCAAGGAACAGTGTGGGGCACAGAGTTGCCTCTGCCTGGGGGCTGGGCTTGCTGTTCTGCTTGTTCACACCCACTGAAGTACTCTCACCAGCCAGGGACTCTGCAAGGGGATGCCCTGCCCAAGGACGTAAGTCCATCAGTGCCTTGAGGACCTGTCTCCTTTAATATCGCTTTGTGAAAGGCAGAGAATGGCACTGTGACTAAGCCCGGGGCAGCCGTGGCCTAAAGTGCTCTAACTCCCAGGTGAAGTCCCTCTAGAACTTTCCTGTGGCTTGTAACTCAGATTGCCGACAGCCATTCCCTAGTATAATGGGTTATAGAAGAACTCTGCTAAGGTATGTCCTGTGTCAGCTATTTTTGTTGTCATTATTTTTGCCTTTTTAAAAATTTTAGTACAGGGGCTGGTGAGATGGCTCAGTGGTCTAAAACACCTACTCAGAACAAGCTTAGCAAAAACAAAGGGACCGTGGTTCAATCCCCCAGCACCACATGCCAGCCAGCCCCGCCCCCTGGTGGGCTGAGCTGGCTACACACACACACACACACAAAATTAAAAAAAAAAAATTAGTACAGGGTCTATAGGGTATCACTTCGTAGATTGTGGACTCCTACTGATCCTCCTGTTTTCAGCCTCCTAAGAGCAGGGATTACAGGCATGTGCCACCACGCCCAGTCTCAATCACCTGCTCAACAAGCCCCAGGGTGGGGCTGGGGCTGGCCGGGGATCAAACTGGCCAGCCTCTGCTGTCTGCGTAAGCAGGCACTTTAATCCCCGAGTGCTGGGGTGGTGTGTGCTACCACCTCTGGCTGAACTCAGGTTTTTCTGCATGCTAGGCAAATGCTCTACCACTAAGTGACATTCCTGTGTTTTTTTTTTTTTTTTTTTTCCTTCAGAACCAGGGATTGAACTCAGGCCCTTGAGCTTGCCAGGGAAGTGCTTATTCCACTGAGCCATCTCCCTGGCCCCTCCTGTTCTTTTTTGCTTTGGAGAAAAGGTTAAGTTGCCTACGCTGGGCTTGAACTTTCTTTTAACCCTCCTGTGCCTCAGCCTCTTGTGATTAAAATGCCTGTGCCTATGTACCCTGATGAACTACTATGGAGCAGATCACTACCTACTCTGAGGCTTTGATTGGTCAATAAGAAAAGCCAGATCCTACGTGTTTCTTTAATTTGCCTTCCTCTTGTTTTGGTGATGCTGGCAACTGAACCCAGGTCCTTGTGCAAGCTGGGCAAGGGTTCTGTCATGGCGCCACACCCTCAGCCCCCTACCTGCATTTCTAAGTAGTTCCTTAGGCAACTGGGATTCACAACATGGGCACAGTTGGGTGCAGTGGGCAGGGTCCTAGAGCCTGGCCTCACGGGGCTGGCTTGTGTCGCCAACCAGGACCACTCACCTCACCAGAGGCATCCACTTTGGAAAGGGCCATCTGTACTTCTTCTTCAGTCATGTCCAAGTCAAAGTCCTTCTCCCAGTCCTCACTGATGTCCGTGCTTGAGCCTGGAATCACATTTTAGAGTGAAATGCAGCAGGGGCAGGGAACTAAAAAAGTTTAGCTGGGGAAAGCAATATTTAAAAGGGATGACAAGATGCAACACAAGGGCTGAGGACATAGCTTCATGGTACAGTGTGTGCCTGTCAAGTGTGAGGTCCTGAGTTTGATTCTTGTTTGTTTTTTTTT